AAGCATGAACTGGAATGTACCTCAGCTGTACCAGAGGAAGGAAAAGTGACAGCTGTCAAACTCACCATAGAAAAAGCTCTAGGATTCAAGAAATTAAGTGGCCAGAGGGTACAAGTTCGTTACTGGCCACGTAAGGGCAGGGGTGTTATGGCAAGGGCTACTAATCATAAATGGGGTGTTGGTTGGTTGGTGTTTTTTTTGTTTAAGGTTTATTTTGTTCGGTTTTAGCAGACCTCTACACAGACAAGGGCTTTATCCTTTGAAAAGATGTGGAAGTTGCCTTGACTACTGGGTCATTCCTGTCTTAAGTAATGGACTGTAGCACACAGATCTTAACAACATGAGACTCAGGGCAGCTGTTTCCTTGCACTACAGTGCTTGAAATGATAAGCCTGGAGTGTCCTCCTTCATGTTACTACAGTGATAATGGCTGTATGGTTCTTGAGGGCTACGGCCTGAATGAAGGTCATAATCCCAGTCATATTATTACAGAGTATCCAAAGGTATACGTGATTCTTAATCATGTACCATTCTTGTAAAAGTCATGATAGCCTTTCGGTTGCAAACCTTCATGATGGTCTGAATAATCAAGTCAGTCATACTGTTACTGTATAGAATGTGAGAGCTTCTGTTTCATTAAAGTTATAGACTCTTTTCAGCTTAAAGGGAGTAATAGGTAAAAGGGAAAGCAGTAAACAAAGGCAGAAACACAGACCTGATAGGTAAGTGATAACTGAGACAAAACAGAAGACCAAAACTCTTTAGCCACTAATGTATGGGCTTTGAAGAGTGTCAGCCTGCACTTTTTAACTGATAAGAAGGAAGAAACAAGCTAAGCGTGAATATTACGGATAGTTGAGGGGAGCCTGTGGGACTATGAAGAATTTAGGAAAGAATATTTAGGAGAATAAGTCAAAGATGTGGAGCACTTGAGGAGTGAGGATAAGCAAGGATGAAGCTAGAGAAGAGGATGGATTTAAAGGGGCTGGTTGCATGTAAGTGCTACCAGTCAGTACGCTTGTCTGACAGCCATGTGCCTAATCACTGCAGTTACTGTTAAATTCTCTCTTAACTGTCTTTCGGTGACATTTCACTCTACTGCATCTGTGAGTGCTGCAAGGTCCAGGTGCCAGCAACTGGAGAGACTAGAGTGAGTGACTTAGATGCCAGCAATGCAGTCAGACCCCAAGTAGCAGTGGTCCGTATGTCTGTGGAGTCAACAACTGAGCATCTGGGTGTCAGCAGCTGGAGGGACCATGGGTCATAAGGCCCAGGTGTTTGAGGTGCCAGCAACTGAGGGGACCAGTGTGTTTTCCTCTGTGTGTATACGTGTGATTCACTGTCAAACTTCAAGCTGGACTAGCTGGCAAATGGGAGGAAAACCTCTCTCTGCCAATACTCAAAACCGGAGCCAAAGTGATTAACGGAGTCTGGGGTCTGGGATTGGACATGTGGCAAGCTGAAAACCCGTGCTGAAGTTTGAGGGAGCTATGAGTGTGAAGGTTCCCTGTGACAAGAGTGTATGAGTGCGTGAATCTTCTAGTGAATGTCAAACTGGCCTAACTGGCAAACAGGATGAAACCTGTATACCAGGCAAGAGAGCTCCAGATCCAGGCAGGTGTATCACACAGGCTGAGGGCCCACTGCTCGTATCTGAAGGATCTGCAGCTGTTGGTGTACTTGTAAATCTAGAGAGAGGCATGTGCTTTCAATAGCGAACTTCAGTGCTGATCAGCTGGAGAGGAGGAATGGGATATGACTCTCTGTACCTATGTTCTGTGTAGTTCTGATAGTGTTATGGGGGGGTGTTGTTAAAGGCAGTGCCCTGCCTGTGGCAGCTTGTGTAGTGTCCTTGGTATGTGTGGACACATATGCGGACATGCTAGTGTCCTTGGTATGTGCATTTGTGTGTATCCCTGGGATATGCACTCAACTTGCTACTAGCTGAATGTGGAAACAGGAAAGCAATAGCTGTATCTATCAGCCTGGAATGGAGAGCCCTCAGAGGGTCTCAGGGTGTGCTGGACTGGGCTCCAGCAGTCAGAAAGGAGGAGTCCCCAGGTCTCATAGTGGTAGCTGGAAGCGGTAGCCTTTGTAACATTCCTTAACAGCTTTTGTCCCCCAGCCCGTCTTGACTTTCTTAGGATTCCAGGACCCTGCTAGTATTTGCTGGTGTAGTCTCATTTCTTGCCGGGAGCACAGGCTCTTCCCTCCGCATCGGGTCTTTTACACGATTGTCTTCATGTATGTAGTAAACAGCAAGTCTAACACCATATAGATGGCCAGCTAGCGTATAGTAGAAGCTAAACAATGTAGAAATCTAAATTGGAAGAATCTTGTACATGTACAATTAGTACCTTATATTAATGTTTTATATCATACATGCTGTTGGCTAACATCTTTGCTTATGTAGTTCTAATGCGCTTTCTGATTGGTTCCTTTGTTCCCAAGCATGTATGCATGTCCTAGTCATTAGCAGCACTGCAGGCTGTTTTGACAGAGCATCTTCAAGGATAAATATTTTGAATTCATTGTTCAAATATTTTCTACTCTGACAATCCACCTTCGTACACTATTACAGGTAATATTACTGTTACTTTTTACAGTATTACAGGAGGGCTACTGGAGTCCTTGCTGGAAATTGCGAACAGTCTTGCTCGTTTGTCTAGCTGTTTATCAGTTATGCATTCCAAGCTATTATTACTTTAGCCACAGAGCTACAATAATCAGACTTTTTTCTTTTGGCTTTTGTAGCATTGCTGTGGACGACAATGCATAATACATGAGAGTTTTTGTTCAGTAGTTTTTTGTTCCTCTGATGCAGGTATCTTATCCTATGTTTGAAGCAGAAGATGATAAGACTCTTGATGGTTGTCTAGTTTTCGTTGTTCTCACACAGGCCTTTTTCCTTATCACAGAATGCTCCAACATAAGGAATAGCAGTATTAACCATCTTTAATCAGCTTCATAGAATCATTTAGGTTGGAAAAGACCCTTAAGATCATGGAGTACAACTGTTTACTTAACACTTCCAAGACTCCCACTAAACCATGTCCCTAAGCACTACATCTACACATGTTTTAAATACCTCCAGGGATGGTGACTCAATCACTTCCCTGGGCAGCCTGTTCCAGTGCTTGACAACCCTTTGAGTGAAGACATTTTTCCTAATACCCAATCTAAATCTCCCTGTCACTACTTGAGGCTGTTTCCTTCTGTCCTATTGCTTGTTACTTGGAAGAGGAGACCAACACCCACCTGGCTACAACCCCATTTCGGGTAGTTGTAGAGGGCAATAAGGTCTCCCCTCAGCCTCCTTTTCTCCAGGCTAAACAACCCCAGTTCCCTCACCAGCTCCTCATAAGACTTGTGCTCTAGACCCTTCACCAGCTCCATTGCCCTTCTCTGGACACACTCCAGCACCTCAATGTCTGTCTTGTAGTGAGAGGCCCAACACTGAACACAGCACTCGAGGTGCGGCCTCACCAGTGCCGAGTACAGGGGGACGATCACTTCCCTGGTCCTGCTGGCCACACCATTTCTGATACAAGCCAGGACGCTGTTGGCCTTCTGGGCCACCTTGGCACACTGCTGGCTCATACTCAGCTGGATGTCGACCAACACCCCAGGTCCTTTTCTGCCAGGCAGCTTTCCAGCCACTCTTCCCCAAGCCTGTAGCGTTGCCTGGGGTTGTTGTGACCTAAGTGCAGCCTTTGGCTGTCTTCATCCTACAACACTGAGTAATCCTTTTTCGTATGAAAAGCTTAAATCACTAAGCATTTCTGAGAATTGAGACCTCCCTGATATTTTGCAGTTCTGTCAGGAGCTGATGTATGAGGTGGAAAGATAATTTTGAAATGCTGGAATCAGCTTATATTGGTGAGATATGCTGCAGTATCACAGAGGTGGAGTTCACTCAGACATGGTATTTTCCCCTCTGCATAGCATTTGTGCATTTCAAAAGATGGTTAGAAAAGATGGAGGTAATCTAGGCCAAGTCATAACTTGCCACGTTAGTGGTATTTAGTTGATTCCTGCTTTGTTTTAAGGTGCTTTTGTATTGAAAATATCACACTTCTCACCATATTTTTGTTCTTGATTTCAGTCTTACTAGGGACAAGTAGTTCTCTGACTTACAAACTCACAGAACAGGGAAGTCTTTCATGTTGCAAGCTCTACAAAAGGAAAGAATTGTAGTTTCCCTCCAAGCATATTTAAGAATAAAGTAACATCATAGTGGTGCTATACTGATCTGCCTTGGTAAAATCAAGTTCATAGCTTCAATCTAGGCAGTAGTTTTTTCCTTGTTTTGACAGCTACTGGTTAACATTGTGTATGATAGATGTGGAGAAAGTCAGAGATGACAAATGGGAATAAGGAGGAGAGGATTTAAAAAAAAAAAAAAAGAAAAAAACCAACCTGAACTCCTAAAAGCTCCTTGTAAGCTGTATTATTACAGGTAATGACCAAGTGAATGAAGTGCCACTGATACCTGAAATCTAGATACTATGGTACGTACTGGTAGAATAGTTAAGCAGTAGATTATGGATCTTGAATTGTAAAGTTTAATACGGTACATTGCTTCTCTGGTTAGCCAGGTGATAAAAGCCTTTGTTAAGTAAAAAGCTCTGGAAGACATTGCTAATAAATGGCATTATGTTTCAGAGTATGAATAGATAAATCCTGCAGTTCTCTTAAACAGTACCTTATTCATATTTGTGTCTGAACAAAACTAAAATTCTGTTTACTTTCTACTGATCCCCAAAGTGCCGTGTGTTTATGGCAAGTAGTGCAGTGTAAAAACAAATGAGCAGAACACTGCACCACAGAATACAGTTAACTTCTTTTTCCTAAAGGTTATAAATATTGCAGGCAGCATATCAAATTTTCAGTTTATCAGTAACACCTCCTTTTAAAACAACGAGATTAGTTCTTACAGAATTAATGAAAAGATGTTTATTAGGAGACTGTTTTCCTATAATTGTCTCTTGTTTTCTTAGCCTCCTCCAGGAAATGTGAAAATGCCTAATGTACCCAGTACCCAGCCAGCAATAATGAAACCAACGGAAGAACCACCTGCTTACACACAAATTGCAAAGGTTTGTCTATAACTTTCAGGCACTAGATTCCTTTTAATTACAATTTTAAAAATATGCTTCTGGAATAATGTCTTTTATAAACAAGCATTACTTTCCTGATTATTTATGAAAATTAATAACTGCCTTTAAGTAACCACTTAATGAATGAATTTGTGCAATATTAGGTCAGTCTTCATCCATAACTGGAGATGCTTAATTGTAGAAAATAGACTTGGAATATCTATTTTGTTTTCATATTTTTTTATCAATATCTAACAATGCTTGTTTTGTTCAGGAGCATGCTTTGGCCCAGGCAGAACTGCTAAAGCGTCAAGAAGAACTCGAAAGAAAAGCAGCTGAACTAGATCGCAGAGAACGGGAAATGCAGAGTCTCAATCAGCAGGGGGGTATGCATGAAAAAAAATACTTCCTTAAATTGCAGCAATTTCACTTTTTCTTAGAAATTGTTTTAGTTTTATAGTGACATTGTGAAACAGATCAAAGAGGGAGTTTTATAATCTCTTCAGGAAAAGAAAGTTTATCTCCTTTGAGACAATGCATAGAGTGAATAAAAACTGGCCTGGCCTGTGCAGATTTTCACTGTAATAATTTTACATGTGTCCTCTGTTACTTGTTACTTTCTGCTTTCTGTTTTCATTGACATTTTTACATTCATTTTTACTTTCTGTTTTCATCGACACATTCCAGGAATATGATTACCCAAAGTGTATTTAGAAAAAGACAGTTTTTTGATCTCAAAGCTCATCAAGCTGTCTTTCAGTTTTACTTGAAAATTTTGAAACCTGTACCACAGCATAGGGAAAGTACTTGAAATACAATTCTTAAGTAATAACTTGAATTATTACAAGATATCCAAATTCTTCCATAACTCTATCTTGAAACTATCAGTCCTGAGAGAAATAACCATATAGTGCAAACGAAGATCTGAGTTATTATCAGATATTTTTCACATAAGAAACCCCAAGTAGTTTTTAATATGGATGGGATTATTACTTGATTACTTTCTCTGTGCCCCCTCTGCCAATCCCTTGCTCTGAAAGGCTTGGTAAAAATTCCAGTAGAAGAGGCAGAAAACTTAACAGGTACTCAGTGCTTTAAACCTGTTTGGGCAGAACTGACAGCTTCACCTTGTCTTGTGTGGTAATAAGAAATAATGCAAGTATGCAAGCTTTGCGAGTTTTCTGTTCGTATCAGATGAACTGCTAGTAAAGATATGGTTGAAGATAGAAAAGGCAAACAAAATCTTGTCAGAATTTCAAATAAAGGTGCCATTAGGCTAGTTTGTAGTGCAGCCGAACTTTTGGAACATGGGGATTAAGGTATCACTTGCATCCAGAATTTGAAATGCTATGGGAAAGGTTTGTTGTAGTTATTACCTCCATTGAATCTCTGAGTCTGTGCTTGGTATAAGTTGTGTTTGGCAGCATGTATACTCCAGCCAGTGAGCAGATCAGCATACAGGAAATCCAAGTGTCTGATAACTGTGTCCTTTGTGGTGTCCTCACTCTGTAACACAACTGTATCAAAATACAGTGATGCTGTAGGGCATCTTCTGGTAACAAAAAAGTAGTTTAGACCATTTCAATGGCTGCCTTTCTTGATGCTTATGGGCTTTTAAGTAAAGCTTTGACCGTAAACTATATTGGGAACTAGTTCAAAGTGTCAGAGATGGCCTGGTGTTAAAAATATCAGGATTCTGAGAATGAACAAGGCTTTTCAGTCCTCAGTCTTTGTGTTCAACAAGTGCGTGAGTATGGTGAGACTTTAGGGAAACGTACATTGAAAAGTCAAGGAACTCTGAGAAATTGGTTTTCTGTTCGTATCTGCTTGTTTTGTGAAGAATTGCCTTTTCCCATTACTTTCTGGGAACTGTCAGATACCTGCTTAGTCTTTTAAGTAGATAAACTATTGTACTTTCCTTGATCTGTCTGCACTTCATTGTATTTTATTTCTGAAGTTTATTTTCAGTATTGTGTGAGGATTGCTGATAAAACTCTTGGGTTTTAGTAGCCCAGGTTATCCATACGCTTGTGAAACTCATGCATAAAACAATTTGAACAAGTCCAGATGCATATCTCTTTCTAGTATACAGAGATTAAAACTGTATTATAAAGCTCTTTTTTTCTCTGTTTTGCAGGTAGAAAAAATAACTGGCCACCTCTTCCTGAGAATTTTCCAGTAGGTCCTTGTTTCTACCAGGACTTTTCTGTAGACATTCCTGTAGAATTCCAGAAGACAGTAAAGATTATGTACTATTTGTGGATGTGTGAGTATTTTTTTAAAAGAAAAAACAAAGCGCGTATTCAAACTTGATGATACATACCTGCTGTTTTGGCTTTTGCAATATATGTATTGAGAAATTGTTTTGAATCCAGAGGTCAAGTGTTGAAGTGAAATCTTTTTGCTAGCTTCAATTTTAAAAATATGGAATTATTATTTCATAAAAACTTCCACAGAAAAAAAGGAGGAGGATTATCCTAAGGCAATTTGGTTATAGTATATTGCACTTCTCTGGTTTAAGTATCTCTGTTGTTGTAAAATGAGCTTTGACCATTTATTAATTTAGAAATAATTTTAATGTTGTTAAAATCAGCTTATATATTAAGAAATATAATTCACAATCAGTGTTAGTAGACTTATGAAGCTAACTATAATATCAGTTTGCTTTGGTATACAGTTTTATATAGTTTAATATAGTTTTTAGTCTATAGCAGAGATGTACTATCATTTTAGTCTATTTAGGAAAGTACTGGTAAGTGAGTTAGCTGAAGAATCAGACCATGTTAGAGTGATCCTTTGTACACCAAGAAGGTTCTACACCATCTTTGTGGCATTAATTTTGTGCCCATTCAGGTGCTGTGTTTTGATTTGAGAAATGCTGGATGAACCAAATACACAAATACTCGAACATTTGTATCTTCTGCCTTCTCCAGTGTGATGAGAGCTTAAGAATTAATCTGACACTGAGGAAATTGTGAAGATTTAGGTGCTTTGATGCCTTTAGTATATTTTTAGCATACTAAGGGAGTGTGAATTTCAGAACTCTTCTGTATTTTTTTTCAGGGTTAAGATTTAGTTAGCAAATCTCTGTAATTTTACCGTTAATCTGGTAATCTTATTACTGTGATTGAACCACGTAACTGAAACACATAAAATGAGCAGTCAGTATTGAATCAAGTGAATTCCACTTCATCATAATACACAGCTTTCTATATTCATTGCTGGGTCACTAATCTTCAAATAAGCAACTAAATCCACTGTAGAATGTGTGACTAGTTACTCATAAATCTGATAGACCTTTAAGATTTATATGACATCTAAGATGAAGTACTCCAGAATTTTAGGATAGTTACTAATTCTGGCCATTTGCAGGACTGAGTTCTGAAAGTGCCGTATGTTTCAAACGCAAGGTGAAATTGGGCAGTGAGAGTTTGAATATTAATACTGTTTTTCTTTTTCCTTCTTATGGCCATAAATAAAGGAAGCAGCAATGTTACAGTATTTAAAAATACATAGGAGTTGTGCTTTTGTACTAGCATGATGGATTTTCTTGTAGGTAGACTGAGATTTTAGCTGAGTTCTCTTGCTCTTTTCAGCTCCAATACTCTGACTTAGGGATTACTCAGGAAAGAAAAAGGCTTAATAAAGGAAAAGAGAGACAAAATCTATTTCAAGCTTTTTTTAAAGAAAAAAAAAAGTTTAGTACAGATCTCCATTCCATAGGGCTGGTTGTTGAATCAGTCCTTGTGACTCTTCTTTCCCAGGATCATAGCTACGTAGTTTGGCTCATTTTTCACTAGAGTGGCTGTGCTTCCTCAGTGGAGGCACTTACTACCATAGCAAACCAGTCTGCTTCTGCTTGCTGCTCTACCCTACATTTTACTTCCTCTTCCAGAACTTCCTGGGTCTCGTAAGGCCTAGGGCTTCTGTGAACATAATCACACTTTGATAAGTCTAGTACCACATGCTGAGCACTTGGTAAAGTAGGTTAGTTTTCCTCTTCCTTTTTAGCAGCCCTAGGAACAAACCTTTCTGTTTCAGTTTTCTGTGTGTTTCTGTGGTTAGTAGCAATTTTTATATCCTTATTATTGGTCTTTATGTATCTGAGGAAACTTTTTTACCTGTTTCAGATCTATATGCTCTTTAGCTCATGAGAAAACAAATATTTTGTCTTTTTTTTTTCTTTTTTTTTCTTTTTTTTTTTTAACTGAGTGCTACCATGGTTTTGGCTTCTGTCAGCTGCCAGTGGAACTCTATCTTGGTTTTGTGACCATTGCTGTTTTAGTGGCTTGCAGATAGAATGACAATTTTCCTGTCATTCTATCTATCTTTAGCACTGAGCACTACTTTTTAGATGTTCCTCTGCTGTTACTAGTGAAATGTCCCATGTCTCTTGACCTGTATCTAACACCAAATTTATTTTGGCTTAAAAGCCTGTGTTTTCCAGCTACTTTCCCCACAGGCTGATAGCATGCACAAAATGAGCAGTACTGATTTTCAAAGAATATTTCTTATTTGAAGTTACAAACCAAAGAGCTGCTTAATCTCATCAAAAGCTTTTGTGGCGTTTGGGTTTGTTACTTTACATAGGCTGTGAATGTTTCCATTTTCTATGAACAAGACTTCAAAGGTTTTCAAAGACCAATGACATAAACTGTAGATTCTTGTAGAAAAATAATACCCTAAGATGCCAACTTCTATGGTATTTTTTCTGTTTAGGAGAGTTTAATCTCATCCATCCTTCTGTCTGAGCATATGATCAATAGTACATACATAGTCTGTGTTGATGTTTGTTCTGCCTGTTCTTGAGAACCTCCAATGATGGACACTTCATAAACTCCCTCCAAGCCTGTTCTAGTGTGTTGCTGTCTTCTATCATCAGAAGATGTTTCCAAGTGTATAATTTAATTCTCCTTTCCTGTGATTGATCTTCCCTGTTCTGTCCTCTGTTGTTATGGAGAACACATTTATCGCCATTAGCCATCTCCTTTTGGGTAAATTAGCCAAATTAGCTGAGTAGTTTACTCATGCTTTCTTTGTAGGTTATGTTTTCTAGAGGTCTGATCGGTTGCTGTCTTACAGATTTGCTGCTTGGTCCACTCTCTATTATTATGGGGTTTTTTTAGTATGTAGCATCAAGAATTTTACAATATGGACTGTGTCCAATATTTTAGCTGAACTGCTACTGTACTGTGTAGAGGGGAAAAAACCACCTTCACATTTTTGGTGGCAGGTGCTTATGTGCTGATCTAAGTCTGGTTTAGAGTATATTTTTTTCCTATGGAAAATTTTTCTGTCCTTTGTAAGGTATGTTTGCACATGTCTTACACCCTCTCCAAAAAGAGCAGAACAGACAAGGAACAAATGCCTAAACTACATTTGAAGCCACTGTGTGCTCCAAGGTTGTGTGTGATTAAACTTCACCAGCAATATCTTCACTTGTTAGTTGCTTGTGGCTTCAAAACCCTCTCTTCTGTAGGCATCCCATTCCCTTCGAGGCAGTCCATTACAAGGTGGCAGTCCAGCTGGTTCCAGGGAAGAAGTGCACTCTTTTGTCATGTGTCCCAATGAGGACTTTGGTTTCCTGAGAATACCATCAGCAAAACATTACTGAAATGAAATTTAGTACAAAAATCTATTTTCATACAGTGTCAAATGGGACTGCAAAATAATCATCTCAATAATGTAGATACCAAATAGCGTCAGAGCAACTTGTAGTCTTTATCTACAATTCACTTTCAAACATTAATGGATGATACAGTTAATTAAGATAGGGAATGTATATCGAACTAGGATTCTTCTGTACAAGGAAGTTTAATAAAAATGAAGTTGAGTCTGAATATTTCTTAAAAGTAATTTCCCATTGTTCACTCTCATTCTGGCATGAATGCCTTTTTTTTTTTTTTCTTCTTTTTTAATATCAACTGCTTCCACAGACAAATCAGGAGAAGGCTTTCTTAGATCACTTTATACTGAGTATTGTATTGGTATAGCTGTGGAGTTACTGGCATACAGACATTGAATGTTGCAGACTTCCACCAAAGCCTTAGGTCATTTCAGCCCCCGAGTGGTCATTATCGTCTAAAAACTTGTATCATGGTTTAATTTGAAGAGGCAAGTAGGTAGAAGGTGCTTAAAACCATTACCCTGAAGATAAAACCACCTGTCTGTTGATGCAACAGCAAAGCTTATCCAGGTCACTCTAGTGAAGGTGTTGGCTCAAAGAACAAATAATGCCTTTCTGTAGCTTGCAGCAGGCAGAGAGAAGGGCGAGTGGAGCCAAGGGAGACTTGCCAGTGAAGTCCCATATCGTCTGTAGCTTGCTGTAGCTTTTGCAGCTGAGATTCTCTGTGACAGTAGTGAAGCAGACCCCTCTGTTGCTGGTTTTACTGTGGTAATCGGTATCAGTAGTGTGTGTGACGTATTCTTTTAAAACTTGTCCTGTTACCGTAATTGCAGTTATGAAAAAAGTAGTAATTTCGGAAAGCTCCAACTCCACCAGAATGTGGATGTTTCTATTAACCTAGGGAGTCTCCCTGTTTTCCAGTACTGACTAGAAAAAGAAAGAAATACCACTTAGTAAGTGTTCTCGTGTTTACCAAAGGCAGGTAGGATTTGTATCCTTTGTTGTGCTTTCTGAGGCAAAGACACACAAATTCTGAAGTGACTTGCTGTGTCGACCTCTTAGAGCAGTGCTGAGATATGTAGATGCATTAAATGCTTTATATTTAAAACCACAAAGTTTTCTGTTTGTGGTGACTCTTAGAGGAAAATATGACTTGTTTTGAGTTTCATCAGCCTTTCATGCAGTGATGTGAGCATTTTGTGTTAATGTTTTTTCCCACTAAGTTGATTTAGGGCTTATTTTAGTACCAGTTAAGACAGCAGCAAAGAGTTTGAGGAGTCTTTTTCAGAATCTATCTTGCCTGTTCTGTTAACCTTACCTTCCAGTAAAATGACTAAAATGTTTCTCTGAAGTTAAATAAAAAAATCATTGCTGCACGGAGCAGCTTGTGCACTCTTAATTATAAATACTCTACTTTGTTGTGGTCCACAGGGACAGAAACTGTCCTCTGAGACACCAAAATCACTCCTGAATCACTGGTTATTACTGAACAAAGACAGAAATTCATGTTCATCTTTTAAGGCGAGCAGAACTAATTTCTGTGCCAGATAGCATGAAGGTACTAGTTGTAAAGTTTCTTAATACTGCTGTATCTTTTTCTAAGAATTAAATATATTTGAAATAAAATGTGAAGTCATAATGCCAATGCATTTTCTTTAGTGGAAATTCAATAGTTAACCTGTAAGAAGGTCTGCCAATGAGAAAATGCTAGTATTGAGCTAAGAATGGAGCACCAAAGGTAGATGTTTCAGACCAGTGTCACAAGAAATACCTGAATATGCAATATGTATTAAAACATCCAGAACAGCTTCTTGCAGATCTTGTTTTACTGAGAAACATTTTCATTAAGTGGGGTTTTTTTTGCTTTATTACATGGAAGACAAAGAGCTTTTCCTTGGAAGATTTTTTTTGGAAATTTTAATTTTCAAATTAGAATGTGTACAGTGCTAAATTTATGATTCATTTTATATCATAAGCCTTCTCTCAAACAATATTCAGTAGTGTGTTAAATATCTGTATCCAGTTATTACTGTAGAAAAAGTATCAATTATTGCAGCTATAGAAGCCTTTTTTTTATCATTTTAAGTTTGAAAATGGTTTATTGTTATGACAGGATTTTTTCCTTCACCATATACTTGATAGTACTTGAATTTTCCTGTTCAGTACTTTCACTTGTGAATACAGGGTTTACCTGAAAGTCAGAAAACTGTACAAAAATCAGCTTATTGCTGAGGGTATTGAGAGGTTATTGATTTATTGTCAGCATGCTGATGTTTTCTTTAAACTTGCTCAGTTTTGGTATTACTTTAACAGTTGTAATAATTTATTGTATAAACATAACTTAATTAAGACTATTTTGCTTTTCCTTCTACAGTCCATACAGTGACACTGTTTCTTAATATCTTTGGATGTTTGGCCTGGTTTTACGTTGATGCTACGCGAGGGGTTGATTTTGGATTGAGTATTCTCTGGTTCTTGCTTTTTACCCCTTGTTCTTTTGTCTGCTGGTACAGACCACTTTATGGAGCTTTCAGGTAACAACTTCAGCTTGACTTAGGATATGTAAACACTTGTCGAAATGCATTAATATTCCAGAATTTGCTTATCATTATGATAATCCTTTAATATGCCTTCATTAGAAACAAGTAGTATGTTTGCCATTGATTCAATTGTTATATTTGAAACATTAGATGGCAATAGTTAGGAATATCATGGAATATCCTTTAAAGTATTTATTGCTTATACCATTGACAAAGTATTTGTAGGAAATTTAAGTTTGTATTGGACTGATAATAATTTTAAGGAAAATTCTTATTAAATCCCTATACTAAGAACTTGAGTAGGTTAATAGTTGAGTGCCTTAAATTTTTGTCTTCCTGAATGAACTTCATAAAATCCTACATGTAAAAATCTGACGTCATTAAGTGACCTACAGTGTCTGTAATTGAAGTAGAATGAAATTCTTAAGAATGAGTAGGGTTGGTATATAGTAATGAAACTAGTATTTTTCCTAGCTTTTAGCAATCTCTGCAGATGGCACAAGTGTCAGGTGTGGTAGCTTTGTGTTTAAGAATAGCATGGTTGCTTGCAAGAAAAATGGAATTTTTTTTCTTTTTTTGTGCAAATCAGCATGTAGAGATGCTAAACCCAGTACTCTTACAGTATTTCTTAGGATTTTTTTTTTTTTTTTTTTTTACATTGAAGTGATTCAGGATATTCTCAGTTAAAATGTACTAATTCTTGTAGAGAAAGATTGATGGCCAGAAATTGCAGTTAAGCATAACCTTTTGACTAAATCTGATGTTTCCTTTGGCTAACCAAGGAAATACTGCTGTACCCACACATCTTGAGGAATCATGTAGTTTAACTTGCTTTTGGTCTCTAGTAAATCCATAGCTTTTCTTAGTGAATATTGATTTTTTGGAAAACTACTCCTTGTATATTCAACTTTCAGTCAGTTGCTCAGCTGAAAATGAAATAGTTATTGAACTGAACTGGTTGAATAAATGGAAATGTAGAAACTACCTTCTGAAGGAAGAGCTATTAATGGCAAAATCTGGTTCTGTGACTTAACTAAGTGATTTCTACTTTCTTTAGAACTCTGGTAGCAAGCATATCATATGGTAATTTGTTTTGTTAGTGATAAGTTGAGGTCTTTGTTGAGATTTTGCCTGTACATTTATATTTGGGGTTCTTGGTTTTTTTTTTAACTTTCAGTCTTTGTCAAGCTGGCATTTTAGTAATTTAAACAGCAAACCTATTTTGTATATTTTGCTTTTAAGCAACAGCTGCTTCAGTATTCTGGTCTGCACTGTGTTTCAGTATTTCCATATTAGATTTTATTTCCTTTTACAAGTAAAATAGTTTCTTCCCATCCTGCCAGCACTGTGAACTTCAGTCTGAAAGTGGAGCAGAATTCTGTTCTTCATGCATTGTAGCAAATCTGTGTTCAGTCTAAGAAGCCCTGCTGCGTGCTGAACAGAACACTAAGGAATAGTATCTTGCTGCTATTCTCACCTCTGTTAGAGGTGCCGGTGGCAAAAATACTGTATTAAAGAAGAAACAGCAACTCTTAAAAATAAACACTCTACAAAACCACAGAATTACTGATATTTCAAGTCACTGTCAATAAACAAAAGCACTTTTCTTCTCGTTAATACAGAAAAAAATTTTAGCTTGGTACTGCAGTATTTGCAAAAAGTCATTAATTTCCTGGCTGCTTTAATCTTTTTTCCCCCTCTTTCAGGAGTGACAGTTCATTCAGGTTCTTTGTGTTCTTCTTTGTATATATCTGTCAGTTTGCTGTACATGTACTTCAAGCTGCAGGATTTCAAAGATGGGGAAACTGGTGAGTATTCTGTTTGCTGTAGTGCTGTGTACTCCGTAAGACAAACACTTATATTTGATACAGCAACTGCAATATAGTCTGTGTTTTTTCAAAAAAATAATCTTATGTTCACTGGAATTGTTATATTTAGCACTCAAAAAAAGCATTTTTTGAGTCCTGTTAATGAGGAAGAGTGGGTGAAACATATCCCAAGAGTGTGAGATATTTCTGTTATTAGGCTGGTCAAAATTGTATCCTTCCATGTAAACCACTTTGAATTATTCTTTCATACATTACCTCCTCTATTTTGGTGGTGCGTGGAGATGTTATTTGCTCCATATTTAAGATAAAGACATAAGCAAAACTTAAAATGAAAATTATTTAGATAGTAATATACTGTTTGCATATTATTTTGTATGATTAATTATTTTAATTATAATAATATACTTACTACTTATTAAGGAAATTTATGGCTAGAATTTGAAGGATCAGTCAGCAGTGTATTCAGGTGAATATAGTGGTATATCTTTGTTAGTATTTGAAAAGCTCATTTGTCTGAGTCAGCTCCTTATTCTGTAATAGTTGACTGTTCTTTTTGATGCTTGTAAGTGTGTAAGATTTATGTGAAGCTTTTATGCATATTATCTTTTATTTGAGATTTTACAAGGAAAAGCTATTGGGAATTGGTCATTATCTGTGGGGAAAAAAACAACCAACTTAAATTAACTAGAAGCATGGTTTTAGAAGCCAGCTGGTAGCATGCAGAGCTGTGACTGGCAGTGCTGTAGCTGGGTGATGACATTCTCTGCCTCAGCACTTTTTGCTGCTAACCTCCAAACATACGTAAGGTAGACAAAACAGTATTGCTTTTAGAACTGCAGTGTAAGGAAAGGTCCTGTTTTATGATTTTTGCTCTCCAATCCGATATTCTGTTTTTTAATAGATGCATTGACATTAATAAAAACGTATTTTAGAGGGCCAGCTTTCCAAGTATATGGACTGTGCTTTTAAGGATACTTGGGGCATGGGTATGAAAAGTACCCAGATCATCAGAAAATGCTAATTACAGTTTGGATTTTGGAGTTCTGTGGTAGAGTCCAGTTGGACATAGGGGATATCAAAGCATCTTAAAACAGGTAGAGGAAAGTTTTAAGGTTGTTTGGGTTTACAGAAATTTTTTCCTCCTTTTTTCTGTGGAAGAATCTTTTCCATCTTAATGTTTTCTTTTTCTTAAGGCAACCTGCTTTTAGTGGTTTCAGGTTTGAGATTGTATTTTTCTGTTGGTGCATCAATTTTGAAGAATGGGGAAATGTTTGAAATAGATACTGATACAGCACTCTTTTCTATTAGTTAATCTGATGCTGTCTACTTCAAAAAATCATGAAATTAACGTCAGTTGAGAAGGAAGCACTGTGTGAATACAAAATAAATGAGTCTGCCCACACAGATGCTGTCTCTGTGTGTGGCATGTTTTTGTTTTATATTTAAAGAAGTTAGAAGCTAACTTTTTAGGGACATTTTCTCTTCCACAAAATCACAAATCATGTAGTCTTAAAGCAGTCTGAAATAACAGTGTGACAAAAAAAAAACCCAAAATTGATGAGCAATTCTCTAATTTCTTCACAAATTCCGCTCAAGGATAATCATCTTTACTACAGCTTTTCTTCATGCATTGGAAAAAATGGAAACTCAACTCTAAAAGCTTATTATAGAACTGAAATATGCTTATGTAAAATTGCCTTGACTTTTTCTTCACAAATATTCAAAGCTGATCAGAACCATAGCTTCTAGGTATAAAGCTTCCCTGGATGTGGATACCTGTGGTTGAATGGCTCATGTGCTGTGCTAGTAACGTTTGTCCTTTCTTTTTCTTCAGTGGGTGGATTTCATCTCTTACTGGTCTTAATAAGAGTATTCCTGTTGGCATTATGATGATAATCATAGCTGCACTTTTCACAGCATCTGCTGTTATCTCATTAGTTATGTTTAAAAAGGTAAGTTAAATATTATTCCCCTCTTCTCTTTCCTGTGTTTGATCTAGATTTTGCTTTCCTGCTTGAGAGGGGTACTTTCTCACAAGTAGTGGGGATTTAATGATATTCTTGGGAATGTGCCTTACCTATTAACAACTGTACTTTTTTTTTTTTTTTATACTGTTGTGGACTTAGAAAATGCTGCTTGTACAATGCAATTATTTTCTGCAAACTAAAATGGGGAGAGATAGCTCTGAATAAGAGAAATTGGGAGCTAAGTCCACAGTGAAAGGGTAGGTGATGAATGCACTGGACACTAGGATTGCACCTGTAGATGCCAGGTTGTAATTTTCAAATCTGTGGCAATTCATCAGGCTGAGGGAAGTGTGATTCAGACGATTGCTAAGTTTCAGCTCTTACCAAAATCAGAAGAGGGAAATGCCTGGCACCTCAGAAAAGGAGTTTGATTTCTCTGCTTCTATTATTTTAACATTTTGTTGTCAATCAATGATTGCGTAGCATAATGGCTCAAAGAAAGATGGGGTTTTTTCCCCTTGGTTCCTTTTTCTAAATTTCCACCCAGAAGATCTAAGTTTAGGTATTAATGTGCTAGTCAGATTTTGATGTTTAGACAAAATATAACTGAGGATTCTGCTGCTGATGTGCTGGCAATTCTAATAATTCAACCTCAGTTACAGTTACACTTCAAGATTTTCACATACCCAAGCTCTTCTGGCCTATTTACAGTAAACTAGAAATTTTAAGTGTTGCCTGTAGATGTCCCTTCTCATTATTTGTTTTCTGTGTAAATACTCAGGTACAAGAGAAAGAAACAAGCAAGAAAAATGTATGGTGGAGCATTTTTTTTATACCCTTCCTACCATATGCATCTGGATGCTTTTTAGAAAGCTGCATACTCAGATATGTCCTGGTGTATCTTTATGGATGAGAAATAGTCACATTTATAACAAAGAAAAAAGTTAACATTAATTTCCTGCTACACTTGAATGAAAATGTCTTTGCAATATTATTTGGCAACTTTATTGTGATTTGATTGAATATGAGTCAGAAATAGCATTTTAAGTTTAATACTCAGGTAATTGGAAGTTACTCAGGATTTATTTTTTTGCTATGCTAGAGATTATACACCATATTGTTTAGAGTGTTTGCAAGTCATATTGTTTAATAACTCTGCTTATTATGCAGAGCTATTGGTCATCACACTAGTTTAGCACAAACATATCTGAATTATTATGATGTTTTATACTTTTTAATATTGTCATAGCTTAGCTCGTTTTTTAACTGTATCAATCAGAGAAATTAAAATGTTTCTAAAAATTGATGTAGAAAAAAGTTCACCAAAATGTTATTGACACAGTGGATTCAAAACTACTTTTTTTGTTTTGTTTCATGCTGTTATTTTTTAACATGCACGCTTACCAACTCTTTTAATAACTATGACAAGTTGTGTACAAATGGAGACAGAAGACATTTTTGCAAGGTGTGAGCCCTGTGTTATGCGAAGGATGCAGCCTGTTTCTGTATTTAAATATGTTGTTTCAGACAGTAGCTACCACATGGCATTTTAGAAAAGACCTGTGAGACCCTCTGAACTTGCAAAAAGTGATTGGTATTCCTACAGTCAAACTGTGCATGCAGCAGGGCAATCAAAAGTTGTAGGATTTCTGGGGAAAGAAAGTCTGTTTACTCATTTCGGGATCCTGCCAAACAAATGAGCAAACCAGGTTTCCCCACCACATGGCTCTGCTTCATGTTTGACACTTTGCTGTTAATTTACCAAGAAATGGAAGGCTCAGCACCATATTTTCACTGCTTTTCCACCCCTCTAGGTGCATGGTCTCTACCGTACAACTGGTGCTAGTTTTGAGAAAGCGCAGCAGGAGTTTGCAACAGGTGTGATGTCCAACAAAACTGTACAGACTGCTGCAGCCAACGCCGCATCAACAGCAGCAACCAGTGCAGCTCAAAACGCATTCAAGGGTAACCGAATGAAACACAAAAAGTCATCGCGGTTCTCTTCGATTGTACTTTATTTTCCAGTCATTTCTTTTATTCCCTAAAAGCCTAGATCAAAATTCACACAGCATGTTTGTCTCTTTTGCAGCTGTGCATGGGTAAAACGGGAAATGTTTGGTTTATTTTATTTTAAAATTTATTTGTTTTAAAAAGATAACCATTCTTTACCCTTCTTCAAAATGTTGCATTCTAGAATGTAAAGCGTTCCATATTTTATGGAGGATAAATAATTTCAACAATTGGCCTGAGAATGAATTGTGGTATATAATGCTCCAATAAATGTATTAAGAATTTGGAAGGTTTTTTTAGTGGTTCACTCTGGTATTTTTTTTAACTTCAGGAAAGCACTTTGGATCAATTATTTTGCTTCATAAGAACTGTTTTCCCTGTTTCTACTATTAGAAGTGGGGTAGACTGAGATGTAGAAAGTTAGGTATGGCTACTGCTTTTGCAATTTCAGCAGCTGCTGGAGGACAAATACAAGTAGGGTAGATATTATAAATTCTTTTCCTGGGTTTTCTTTTAGGATAAGTCTTTTGATATAAACCTGTAAGTTTGCATGAATACTGTTGAGTTATCTGATCTTGTTTAAATAGTGTTTTGGTCCAGAATTTACCTGTGCCACTTTATAATTATAGCATTTGTTTGTATCCATTTTCATGGAGTATTCTCTACCTGTGAGAAATGACTGTGGTGCAGAAACATTCTGTAGTAGAATGTGTAATGCAGTGTACAGTTCAAGGAAGTTAATTCATGGTTTCAATCACAGAGCTACATGATTATATATTTGCTATTTTTAATTTCAGTATTCATGTCTTGGGGTAATACTTTTGCTGGAAAAGAAACTAATATTAACTTTTAGAACACTAGTTTCTTGCCCGCTTTCCCTCTTCTATGTGCAGTGGTATTTTTGTTGTATTTGGGATTTTTTGAGGGGTTTGGTTTTCTTTTTTTTTTAAAGTATAGATTTGTGTTTAACAGTGGTACTAAATCTCTAGCCCAGTCAGTCACTCTGTTTACTGCTTGTCCAAAAACCTAAATATACAGTATTTAATTTTCTAACAGGAATATTGTCTAAAAACAAGCTTTTTAAGCAATGGCATTTAACAGATACTTGAATCCGTTTTAACATTAACTCAGCCATTTTTGTGATGTGATTTAAGCTGGGGGAAAAAAAGCTTTTAAACTATTTTGAGTGGGAAAAGTGAGAAATCTTCATCTTTAACAAAGTTAAATTTTAACTCCTTGACCTGGAGGCCTAAGAGGTTAAATTGGTGCTGTGGAACTGAACAATCTATAATGGTACTTACCATCATAATATTCTGGAATCTAGTCAGGTCTTTGTAATGTCATGCTTCTCCCCTTTGAAGATTTTATGTTCTTGGATTGCCTCATGAGTCTTATGCACAATACTTGGGCTGTTTTTTCTAACCATTACAGAAAATGAAAACGGGAAGGGCCATATCCCAGACACAACCTGTATAAGTATATGCTGTAGCTGAAATTAATTCAATTCTTAAGGTGAATCACCTTTAGTAAGGGAACATAAAATTCTGAGGCCCTTCCATGCCCTGAATGTGGACCGACTTCTCATAGATTCTTTTTCACTACACTGTATTCATAGTAACAGAAAAACATTACAAAAAATAAACCCCATAGCTTAACCCCTGGATCAGTATTGTACTGTTAGCATGAAGTCCCTATTAGTCACCTTTCTTTTACTAATTTCTTTAAATCCAACTTGAATTTGGGTAAGTGTAGTAGTTTCATCTATGCTGAAGTTTATATTAATGAATATACTTGCTTCTAAATGTTCTCTGCATCATGAAGTTAAAAGCAATTTAAATATTCTGTGTAATGGAGGCTCTAAAATTTCATACTAGTGGACATGCTAGCATTGAACTTAAATTTGTGTTTAATGTTAAAGGCTTTCCAGACAAAAGCCACCATTTTCTGTTGAGATCAGGCATTATCCTTCCAGCAGCTGTAGGCCAAGATTGTTCTTCATAATCTTTTAAACTTAACTTGAGGGTTGTATCTAGGAACTCTACTGTGGATTACTTTTAAATCTAAATTTAAGCAATTCTTTTGGTATCTCTTGGATAGGAATCCCAGGGACATCATCCTTGCAAAATAACTTAAGCTGAAGATTGCATAATAACACATGTTACCAGAATGTATTATGGGGAAAAAAAGATTAGGAATAAAACTTGAATTTGTCAGGTAGATTTTTTTCTCCAAATATTTAAAGTCTCTTTGAGAAAACATATTTAATGTTCTCTGTATAGGGAGTGTTGATTTGTAATGTTGAATGTACGGATTTAAACCTCCTAAGTGAAATTCAAGGTTCAGTTGCATATGAATTGTTTAAACCAGAAATCTCTGAGACTTCGCAGTCCAAAAGGGAGGGAAAAGTTTGAGTTTAGCTTTGACAACAGAAGGCTGATATTTGTTAAAATATTTTGTACCCAACGAAAATAGATTTTACAGTCTATTACTAATTTTAATCAGAGTATGGCACCCACTTAAGTTGTCATTTTGTTGTATTGTGGCAAATTGAGTACAAAGTATGAAGTTTAAACACTGGAATGTCAGTCGTCATTGATCTGTAATTTAGGAGTCGGTTTTATTTATCTGAGGGATGTTTGTATATTTTGTAAATTACTAACAATGCTCTGCCATCCTGGTGAATGTCATGGTTCTGTACAAATGCACTTCTGTCCCTCTGTTGCATGTCTGAGTAGTTCAGCAGTTTTGTATATTTATTGTATTAACACAGTGTCATAGAATAAAAAAAGACTTTTTTCCTGGACATTTGCTCTGTATAGTTTTGACCAATATAGGGATTTTTCTTCTAATGATCACGATAATGTGCGGGGCAACTGATCTATGTAGAAGTCTCAGTTGGTTTTTATAATTCTGTATATAAACACTGTAATTCTGCTGAAATGGAGAAGCAAAATGTCCACTATCAAAATGATACATTAGGGTATTGAGAATTAGTCTACTCAACTGTTACGAAGAAAATTCTTAAACACTTGTAGCCCACTTTCTTGTGCTGTAAACTTACGAGGGTTAAAATCTAAACATGTTCTGTCATTACTGAATGAAATTCTACAGGTGTTAAGTGACTCCTGAAACACTATTGAAAGTAAAATGAAGTTGCTGAAAACAGCATAGCTTTGGTAGTGTTTATTTTCCTAATATCTGCTTATGAATTATGTTTCTGTATCACTGCTATCTCTTGCCTTTTTTCTTTTTTTCAGGCCCTATCACAGTGTGTTGACTTTTTTTTTTTCATACGGTAACTGTAACACCTGCTCTCTAGTACTGCGTTTTCTTTGAAGGGCAACACAACTTCATCTAGACCACGGTGATACCGTTATGTTTGCAAATGTACAATACAGAGAACAGTGCGCTGAGGCACAGTCAGGATTATTTGGGGAGATGGCAGACATGATGCACGCATGTACACATCATTTTGTAGTGAAATTCTTCATCAGCTTAATCCATTTCTTTGTAATTTACAGATATAGGATGGCAGTGGCAGCAGACTAAAGGAACAGGAACAGGTTACATTTACTCGTAAATGGTAAGCACATGGGCAGCATGATCCAGTCATGTTTTATGATTAGAATTATTACACGATTCAAGTGCTGTTGTGGGGAGATAATACCTCTGGTTTGCTGAGGCCAGTTTTTCTGAAGAAGATGTAAGCATGAAGTTGGGGAGGCACGTACACAGAGACAGCAGCACAGGGAAGAGAACTGTGACTGAAGCACTCAGTGCTACTTTTCCTTGACACCTAGAGCATTCTGGTTATGAATCAGTAGTAATGCACAGTGGATCAGATAATTAAAACAAATATGTGTTAGGTTTCACTCAGTTACATTAAAATCTGTAAGAGTTAGTTTGTACTTTTTTTCCCTAATCTGAAAGTACGTTTTTTCTCATCAGTAGAAAAATCAGGAAGACTTACAAAAGAAATGGTGCAGATTTATCTCAGCAGCAGAATACTTCATGCTTTAATTTCATGCTAGGATTAAGCTAGATACCATGTCACACACTACTGAGGAAGGAACAAAGTGTCGATAGGAAGTATGACCTGTGGATCACGCTGCCATACATTATGTTCTGTTTAATGGAAACAGGTACAGCTCGTCTAAAATGTGCTTTGTGTTGGATGAATGGATAGTGATTACACCAAACAAAAGTGCTTTTGTTTGTTTTACCTTTTCTCAATACACTTGGTGCTGCGATGTGACTAATGCGTGTGTGTGTGTGTATATCTTTGGTGACAAAGTTGGAGGTTGTATTAGTAATTGGCAGTGTACTTGGAACAGGGCTAACCTAGGCCTGGAGAATACAGCCGGGGTTAGAGTCCAGTTACTTGTGACCATTGACTCAGCTTTTCTGCTTCTCCAGTGTGTACAACTAGAGCTGGGCAGAATACACAGCCTGGAGCCCAGGCCGTTTTAAAAACCAGGTGCTTCTGATCACTGATGATGTCTCTGTGGTATCACCTGCTCTGCCACTGTCTCAGCTGACAGCGCTGCAAGTAGATTTTACAATGTTTATATTGTTTATATTAAACAATCATACATCATCTGAGCTGTAGTCATTGCACATGTGCCAAACTTTGCTGTTTTGCAGTGCAGGCCTGTTGTCTTTGCTATGAATGTATTTTTCATGTTTTAGAGAAAAAAGTGGATATGCTGGATTGGGCAGTGGGGTGATACTTTTTGTCCACGGTAAGATAGCAATTGGAAGTATCAGAATAATGTGATTAAATTTGAAATTATTTTTTCTTTACCTTTCTCAGCTAGACCAAATTACTGATGCTGCTGTGGGTGATACCTAAAGCTCGTTAGGGACGCCAATTTCTACACTCTCAGAATTTCACTTACATGAAGATAGTGCAAATCAAATAAAAGGCATCTATTTGAAAACAAGCTTTCAGTGAACCACAGGAGCAAGACAACATCTTTAAATTCCTGTCCCTCTGATATTAATAATATACATTCACTTCCTTACTGCATCACCATTCTAAACTGGAGCTTGAGGAAGAAGTTACTAGAATACAGAAATCTGTAGTAATTCACACAATTAGAGAACTGAACTCTGCATTCCCTATTGCCAACTCCATTAACCTTACTGAAAAAGGGAGGTAATATTTTTAGCTATACAAATCAATACGTTGCCATTTCTTTCAGCAGTATTTGGTATTTGTAGACTAACTGCTGTATCTATACCTGCTTTGAAATCCATAAAGGTGACTAATGTGGTGCTGCAT